TAAAAATCGACGCGTTTCAGAAAGGCGGGGCATAGAGGAGAAACAATAATGTACAGTATGTGGAAAATAATGTGTTTTTTTACTTTAAACCGCATAAACACATTTCATTACACCAAATATACAAAATAATGTTCTTTTTATTCATATGACCCCTTTAAAACGGTCATTTTCTGCCACCAGATAGGCTCCGCCCACAAAAAAGGTCATCACTGTTTGCAAACACCGAAATTGGTGTATAGCTCAAACAATAAAGCATGGCATTAGTCAAGGTCATGGGTTCGATTCCAAGGAACTGCATAAACTGATTAAAAATAATAAGAAGAAGAATATAGGCTATACCTTGAATGCAATCTAAGTTGCTTTGGAAAAAGCAAATGTAAAAACTAGGCTGAACTGTATGGACTCTTTTCACATTTCCGGGGTTCTCAGAAGCAGAAGTCATCATAGTTGGGAAAACATGTAGTGATGAATGTAAACTATACATTTGACAAAAAAATACATAAAAAAAAAAAATCCATGATAGTATTTCCATTACTGTCTAGATGTGAAAAAATACAGTTTGATGACAAACAAATTTGAAAGGTCACCCATTCTGACCTTCTCTCCATGGATCCATTAACACCTCCAGCAACCCCCTGGTCTGTGAAATAGAAATAGCCTGTCTGAAATCCTGTGCTGACCAGCTGGCCCCCATCTTTACACAAATCTTCTACAGATCACTGTGCGAAGCTCCTTCCTGCTTCAAACGCTCCAACATCATCCCCATCCCAAAGAACCCCAAAATCACAGGACTTTACAGACCTGTTGCCCTATCTGTGGTCATGAAGTCGTTTGAGAGACTGGTGTTGGCTTGTCTGAAGGACATCACTGGACCCTTGCTGGACCCCCTGCAGTTTGCTTACCAAGCAAACGGGTCTGTGGATGATGCAATCAACATGGGACTGCATTATATACTACAACATCTGGACAGACCAGGGACTTATGTGAGGATCCTGTTTGTGGACTTCAGCTCGGCCTTCAACACTATCATCCCAAACCTCCTCCTGTCCAAATTAACCCAGCTCTCCGTGCCCACCTCCATCTGTCAGTGGATCTCCAGCTTCCTGACAGACAGGCAGCAGCTAGTGAGGCTGGGAAAATTCTCATCTAGCACCCGTACGATCAGCACTGGTGCCCCTCAGGGATGTGTTCTCTCCCCACTGCTCTTCTCCCTCTACACCAATGACTGCACTGCAAAGGATCCCTCTGTCAAGCTCCTGAAGTTTGCAGACGACACTACAGTCATCTGCCTCATCCAGGACGGTGACGAGTCAGAAAGGGGGTTAAAGAGCTGGCTGTCTGGTGCAGTCACAACAACCTGGAGATGAACACGCTCAAAACTGTGGAGATGATAGTGGACTTCAGGAGAAACCCCCCTGGTCTCCCCCCGCTCACCATCATGAACAGCACTGTGGCTGCAGTTGTGTCATTCAGGTTCCTGGGCACCACCATCTCTCAGGACCTAAATGGGACACTCACATTGTCAAAAAGGCCCAGCAGAGGCTGTATTTCCTTCAGCTGAGGAAGTTCAACCTGCCACAGGACCTGCTGATACAGTTCTACTCTGCAGTCATTGCATCTGTCCTCTGCACTTCTATAACTGTCTGGTTCAGCTCAGCTACTAAAAATCAGGCCTCAGAAGACTACAGCGGATAGTCAGGACTGCTGAGCGAATCACTGGTACAACCCTCCCCACTCGCCAAGAACTGCACTCATCCAGAGTGAGTAAAAGAGCTGGCAAAATCATTCTGGACCTCTCACACCCAGCCAGCTTCCTCTTTGAACTGTTGCCGTCTGGTCGGCTCTAAAGAGCACTGAGCACCAGAACGGCCAGGCATAAGAACAGTTTCTTCCCTCAGGCAATCTCTCTGATGAACAGTTAACTTGGCAATAAACGTGTAATACACAACATCTATACATTTATTTATTTATTTAACACGCATACCTCTGTTGGATTACAAATGTATAAAATGTTATATCTAGGTTCCAATGTAATAGTATATAAACTGAAAAAGTTATGTACATTGTATTTAGCATTTAAGGTAAATATGATGACATCAGACAAATGATTCTCTTAAGCAAAGTTTGTAGCAAGAGGTTCTGGTCAGTTCCTGTTCTCTTATTGTTAGTCAAATGAACCAGATTACTGAGACTATCACACTGTTATGCTGATGAGATCAGGGCTGGAGAAATTCCGGTTACGGGCTGATTCCTGTACTGCATTTGCATGCTCTGTTTAGATTGTCTCCACCTCTATGTATCCCTGCCCCTTGAAAGGTATAAACTCTACTGTGCTGAGCTATAGTCAGACTTGGATGACTGCAGCGACGCACAGCGAGTCCTCAATAAAGAGTAACTTCTGTATGAAAGATATCACAACGTCTCCTGGTCTCTGCTTCGACGAGGAAAAAGTTTCCTACACCTCTTTTAAAATTTCCTTGCATTTGTACATAACATACTTGTACACACAAATACCATCTATTGTCTATTTTGTATATTGTTATTTCCTATTTACTTATCCTATTTTTATTCTTTTAATTATCTGTGTCTTGTCTTGTCACTGTCATTCTCTTTGTGCCGTGGAAGCTCCTGTCACCAAAACAAATTCCTTGTATGTGTAAACAGGGAATTTGGAATCTGGAATCTAGGAATCTGATTCTGGAAACACTCATGCAGCAGCATTAACTAGATTTTTATAGGTAAACGTAAGAAAACACAAAGCATGAGAGTTATAAATATGCATTACATTTTCAATTAATATTTATATATAAAAGCTGGTAGATTTACGATGTTAATAACTGGAAATTTGTTATAACCGAAATGTTGAGAACAATATCTTCCATAAATAGACTCTCAAGGACTTCTTGCATCTTACATAGACAGAATATAATCTTATCTTCAGACTAATATAGACACAGAGGTGCTGTTTGTTCTGATGGGTCAGCATGTACTTCCAAACAACAGTTCATAGTGTGCATACAAAAACTACAGCAGAAGAAAGATCAGTGGGCAACTGCAATAAAAGAGCACACTCTATCTATCTATCTATCTATCTATCTATCTATCTGTCTGTCTGTCTGTCTGTCTGTCTGTCTGTCTGTCTGTCTGTCGATCGATCGATCGATCAATTGGTCTGTCTGTCGATTGATCTGTCTGTCAGTTGGTCTCTTTCTGTCTGTCTGTCTGCCTGACCATCCAGCAGTTAACATACATAGACACACAGCTGAAAGCTTCCACAATACTTTTCCTGAAGCTCAACAAGATTTAAAACACACTTATAAACTGATTGGATTTTATTTTTACTCTCATGACTTCATCATCATTAACATCTTTCAAATGAAATCTCGCTGGCTTTCTAAAAGATGCACTTTTGCGTATTTAAATGCAAATGAGCAGATCGTTTTATACTGTGTTATCAGCACTATTAGGAAACAATAATGTGAACCCCTGTTGAAAGTGCATTGCTCTGAACTCAGCTGTGTGCTTCTATCATGACTTTTTAACTGATTGTGCCATTGATCTTTGCAATAAATGTTAATGTTTCTTTATGCCTTTCTCTTCCTATCAGTCACTCTTTTGTGATATGATTTAAACCGAGTCTTTACTATACCCTTTGTTGAAGTTGAAAAACTGCTGAGTGATTTAAAATCCTGGGAATGGTTATGACTAAGGACAAAGTGCAGTTGGCTTCCCCTTTGCCTAAAGCAGCATGTGGATGATGTAACTTCATGTTTTAGCCAATGGCCAGCATTCTGCTTATCAAACTACAGTAGATAAAATAAATAAGTGTTACAAGAAGAGAAAGCGGTGCAGAGCTGCTGGCTGTGCGCTGTTACAGTCAAAATGAAAAATAAATCTACCAATCTGCGTGTGCGGCTCCCTGCACTAATTTTTGCATTGGAGGTCATGATTGTTGTTCTCTATGCATTCTTTGTGACATATGAAGATGATGCTAATGCACTTCTACAGAACAACCAGACACAGCCCATGGAGAACTCATTGTATCAGAACTATCCATTTTTTGCTGACATTCAGGTGATGATATTTCTCGGATTCGGCTGCCTTCTGGCATTTTTACGGCGCTATGGATTTGGTGGAATGGTGTTTAACTTCCTAATCGCCACATTTACCATTCAGTGGGCCATTCTGGTGCAGGGCTTCTTTCAGTTTTACTATGATGGGAAGATTCATCTTGGTGTGCTGAATCTGATCAATGCCGAGTTTGCTTGTGCTGTTGTGCTGATTTCTTTTGGAGCAGTGTTGGGGAAGACGAGCCCTGTGCAACTCCTGGTAAGTTGATTATTTTTGCAGCAGGTGGCTTGAAATTAGATATTGAATCTACAAAAGATGTTTTGCTTTATTTTCCATTGTCAAAAGGCTGCAGCACTGCAAAGGTACAGTGCAAGATGTGTGCTACCTAGGCGTTACATTAAGTTTTAGGACAATCATGTGATAATCACACTTTTGTTAGAACATTTACATCACCATGATCAATCCCTTGTAATACCTCATTTATAAGTTGTAAATAAAAGCATCTGCTAAATGAATATGTAAATTTGCTCATATCACACATCCTCATTCTACATACTGTGTATTGTGCAGATCATGGCCTTGCTGGAGATCCCTGTGTTTGGTATCACAGAATGGGCTGTAGTGAAATACCTGAAGATCAACGATGCCGGTGGCTCCATCCTCATCCATATTTTTGCCTGCTACTTCGGACTGGGTGTCACCTTTGTCCTGTACAGGCCCAGCCTAAACGAGGGACACCCAAAAGAGGTGACAAGCTATCAGTCAGATGTGCTATCTGTAATGGGAACCCTGTTCCTCTGGGTGTTCTGGCCCTCTTTCAACTCAGCGTTGACCTTCAAAGGTGACGACCAGCACCGAGCCGTTCTCCACACGTTCATAGGTCTCAGTGCCTCCACAATCACCGCCTTCGCCCTGTCCCGCATGCTCAGCAAGAACGGCAAGATCAGCATGGCCGATGTACAGAACGTAACATTGGCCGGTGGAGTAACTGTCGGTGCTTCGGTGGACATGATGATTTCGCCGGTCGCTGCTTATGTGCTTGGCATCTTGGGATGCATTGCGTGCATGCTGGGGTACAAATACCTGAGCCCGTTCCTGGCGCGCCGGCTGCGGTTGCAGGATCAGTGCGGCATACACAACCTGCACGGCCTGACGGGACTCATTTCCAGCCTAGCTGGAATCTGCGGCATCCTGCTGGCGACCGAGGAAACGTATGGCCCCAGTCTCTACCAGACCTTCTCTCACCGGGCCCCTCCAGAAGGAGACCCTCTACTAGCGAGGTTGCAGGAATTGATCCCGGATCTGGAAGCTGGTTTGGGTCGGACCGCACAGGAACAGGCCCTCTTTCAGGTGGCTGCTGTGTTCGGGACTATTGCGGTGGCAGCAGTGGGGGGTTTGCTGACTGGTGTGGTACTCAAGCTACCATATCTGGCTTCCCCCAGTGATGAGAAATGCTTTGATGATGAGCTCTTCTTTAATGTTCCTCCAGACTACAACTGTGTAAACGGTCCGCAGGACGTATGGTCCTATGTTCTCAGAGACACAAACAAAACTGATGCTGACTGAAGCAAGAAAAATACTGAGCATCAGTATGAGGAATAAATGTCAATGTAGGACTGTTGTGAACTTCAGAACTGCTAACTGTGATTGTATTGACCCAAAAAATAGTTTATTTTAATATTTGATAGGATGAGGTTTGTATACTGTGTATCAAAATATATAAAGTGCATGTTTGATTTTGATCAAATGTTTATTTGTAGAATATATTTTATGAATAATCTAATTCATTAATACATTTCAGATTACCCTTGTGAAAAAGAAGTATGCTACTCTTTAGCATAATTTTAAAAAGAGTAGTTATGGAAATAATATATACTTTAATGAAAAATTTCATGTTATTTGCAATTGAATTAAAATGTATTATAGTTTACATTTATTTTACATGCAATAGCTGAACTTAAGAGAGTTTTCTGACCCAATTAAATACATCTTTATGTGTAACTTCATAATTACTTCTATTGAAATGTGGTTAAATATGTACTGATGAATGAACTGATGAACATTTGTAAAGTAAATATATATTTTAATGTAATTTCTATTGAAACATGTATATCATGTATTTAGACATAATTGTAATGAAGTTGCAATTTAGTACATTTAAAATACATTAACTTTAAATGTAATATCAAGTAACACACTACAGCTAAAATTATAATCCAGTACTTTAATATGTTAGTCGACACATGAAAATAAGTACTTAATACGCACAATAATATAAAATGTACTTTGAGGTAAAATGCTGAATTTAACATGATCACAAAGTGCACTTATTAAAATACACATTTTATAGATTGCTAAGATATTATACTTATGTATATAAGATGTCAATTCCTAATATGCAAATTAAAAGTGTACTTAAGTGTGTTAAGAAACATAGTCAAAGTCTTTCTCTTTAGGTATGCTTAAGTGGCTTTTTATTTCAGTAATATATTATCTGCAGTTTATTTTTTAGAACACTTTAAAATTTGTAGTACACTACAAGTGAAATGCACTTCCTTTTCACAAGATTACACTTGGATGATAAATGATATCTGAGTATTGTAAGCACATCCTTAGGAATCTGTATTTCACACTGAGTTAGAGCGGCGACACCTTCCTCACTGAGCAAAAGATAAACAGGACTAAAGTTAAACAGTTCAAAAACTGTGAAATATGAACTACATTACATTTACAGGGCATGAATGTTATCTTGATGAAAAGTTATAAATTAACAGGTTGATTGTATTTCTTGGGGTCATGGCCTATCTCTTCTATATGTAGATATGCACATAAATATATTAGTAAATATACACAGTTTTACTACATGCATATACTATAAAATGTATTGCTGCAGTTAGAATATTATCAAGTTAGGCTGTAAATGCATGGTTAAATAATGTGACAGTCTTTTGTAATGTAAGGCTACGCTGCTCAATGTATGCAAAATATGCAACATGGAATTATTTCACCTCATTAGAAATGTTAAAAAAAAAAAAAAAGATTTTGAGCTGTGAGAGCAATTTTTCTTGGTTGTTTTGGATATTTGTCATTTAATTTAATTCATTTATATGAACTATATATATTTCATCTCTGTGTAAATAACCAAGGCTATTCTCACTAATTCAAACCAACATTGATAAGATATACCTTCAACACAAACAGCATATTAGTTTTTTATTTTATTAGTATTTACATTTTGTGTAAGTAGCACCCATCAATATTTGCACTGAAAAGTAAAGAGCATTTTTTACTTCTAAATACACTTAATTTGAATTCTGAATGAAATGTTTGAATAGAAATATTGTTGCTAAGGAAGATTCTCACCATGACTGTGCAAAAACTCCATATTATACTGTTTATTAGAAGAAACAACCACTGATTTGTTTTGCTTACAAATGAAAACTCAAAAATAATTGTAATAAATAACTTGAACTTTATTGCATTTTGTGCAGACAAGTCTATAAAATGGTCCAGACAAACCATTATTCATAGAACATAGAAGCTTTTGACAAGATAAAACAACAATTTAAGATATCTAGTTTAAATACATTTTCATATAACACAATTGAGACACAATTTTCTATTTATTTTTAAAATATTAAACGTGCATGGACACACAAATTAAACAGCTAGGCTAAGATAACTATAATGTGTCATATATTTACAAAAGTAACTGCCACAGTTTAACCTCTCTTTTTCCAACAGAGTGATACGCCACACAGTCATATACATAAAGTAACAGAAACACGCCACCTCTTTCCCCGTTACAATCACACTCACAAACACACCATTATGACTCCTTGTGAAAACTGAAGCAGAAAACAAAACACATCACTAATCAAATCACTGTCTTTGGATCTACACAGACTACCATACAAAAAGTGTCAAACCGCCCTCCTATGGAGAAAGTAGAAATGTCGGCTCCTGCACACACTGCTGGGAAAGTTTCAGATCTCGGACGTATCTGAAGATGTACGTTGCCATTAGAAAATCAGAAGAAATGCTTAAAATTTGAAACGATGATTGAGCTGAGGCCTGGTGAATTTCTGGAGTTAAAACACCAACATGCCGAAACAGGTATCAGGAGCACTGAACGAATGATGATTCAATTCTCCCGCCAATCTAAAGTAACTGCAAAAGCCCTTAAAAATATATACTCTTAAAAATAAAGGTTCCAAAAGTGGGGTTTTGTAGCAAATTAATTTTGGGTTCCTCAAATAAAATTTATTTGAACAGTTCTTAAAAGAGCCTTTTTTCCCCTTAGTGTGAAAAATATGTAATAATCTGAAGAACCTTTTTCCAGAATGGATGCTGAAGGAATAGCTCACTCAAAAATGACAATTTGCTGAAAATGTTCTTACCCTCAGGCCATCCAAGATGTCAATGAGTTTGTTTCTTCATCAGAACAGATTTGGAGAAATTTAGCATTAAATCCATAAATGGCACATAAATTGAATTGTGTGTTTTTTTAATTCCACTGCATTTATTCTGTCTATTGTGAAATGTTGTATTTTGTTTGTAAAGATTTATTGTGCAAGAAACATACCGTTACGCAAGAAAAATGTCAGACATTGTCTGACAAAGTTTATAACTCTTATATCTATATCTAGCTATCACTTGACCACCAATGGATCCTCTGCAGTGAATGGGTGCCGTCAGAATGAGAGTTCAAACAACTGATAAAAACATCACAATAATCCATTGTGTGTTTTCAACTTTAAACTGTTGTTTTCGGCTAAAGTATAATAAGACCTTTATCTGTAAAATTACTTTCTTCAGTGAAAAAGTCATCTAGTCTGAATCAGGAGGGAAATACGCACAGATCAAGCACAGTTTACAAGCAAAAACAGGCCAAAACAGTTATAAACAAATATGTCAGTGGATTTTGATAACAGAACTGACATTTTGGCCAGAAGTGACAGTTTAAAGTTAAAACCCCTTACAAACACACAGCTTTTGACTTCAGAAGATGTTACTGATGGACTGGAGTGGTGTGGATTATTGTGATGTGTTATCAGCTGTCTGACGGCACCCATTCACTCCATTGGTCAATGTCAGTGGATTTTGATAACAGAACTGGCATTTTGGCCAGAAGTGACAGTTTAAAGTTAAAACCCCTTAATGATGGATTTGTTTCTTACAAACATACAGCTTTTGACTTCAGAAGATGTTACTGATGGACTGGAGTGGTGTGGATTATTGTGATGTGTTATCAGCTGTCTGACGGCACCCATTCACTCCATTGGTCAGCAAGTGATGTAATGCTAAATTTCGCCAAATCTGTTCTGAAGAAGAAACAAACTCATCGACAACTTGGATGGCCTGAGGGTCTGACAGTAAATTTTCTTCAGATTTTGGGGCAAACTATTCCTTTAAAGGTTCTTCACAGAACCACTGATGCCAATGCAGGACCTTTATTTTTTAGAGTGTATATCCAAATACAACATGATAAATCAACTTTGGCAACTTCTCTTCCCTCGATTAACTTCAAGTCTGGCTAAATAGCTCATTCCATACAAGTCGGCATTCTCAATATTGCACTTGAACATTTTCATACACGCCGCTTCAGCAATCACTTACAAATATCATTTGCACCTTCTGAAACACCTGCGATTTCAAATTCAGCTCGCTGGTTATTTTATAAGCCCTGTTAGTTGACTAGTACCACTGTTGCAGGATAGTTACAAGTCAGCATTGCATAAAAAGCATCATGATAAATCTATATGCATTCTAACGATGTTTACTTCAGGTTTCCCACAGCAGTGCTCCATAGCAAGGACATGAAATAAAGATAAAAAGTGACTGAATGTAGATATGTGAGAAAGAAGCTAAGTTTGAATTTTCACAGTGCTTATTTCTAGTTATGCTTTGGCCAATTTGGGGTGGCTTTCGAGTTTACTGCCCCTTTCAAGGGAAGATAAGGAACGACATGCTATACAACACAAGGTGTAGTGACACTTCTTTATGCCTTCAGCCTTGGGGAAGGATAAGACGAATCTGATAAAATGATATCAAAAAGCCCTTTGCATCAATGTGAATTAAATTCAGATATTCTATACTTCATGATGAACAGGACATCATCATCATCATCATCATCCGCAGAGTGAAACCTCTGTATCCAACAGCACGCAGCCAATATGGCTTAATCGTGACACTGTCCCAGCATGTTTATCTTTGCATGACTTTAAATAATGTGGAATCGAACTGCAAGTCACCCTGGCAGATACGGAAGCTCTGATTTCTATCTATAATACTTAATAGTACCACTATAAACAATTCAGTAGAAAGTAGTTTTAGACCCTCAAAGAACTTACTAAACTGTAATTGCATAGGACTCCAAACAAGCCAAACTCGTCTTTTGTGTTGTAAATTCAAATGTACAGCAATGCAAAAGTTCCTTCAGATAAGATTATCATTTTAGCTAGAAACAAAAGCAATAAACTTGGAAGAATTATGATAGGTAGCACTTTGCAATTCCTGTTTTGGATTAAAAAAGATCACTTGATTCTGAGCATAACTAGAATACTGATAAAGAAAATGTACTTAGCTAATTCAAATTCGTTTCGCAAACAACGATTTAGTTAAATATCACTTCTATTAACTTATAGACCATAACTTTTACACACTACCTTTCTACTACAAGTGTGGACGTGATGAGGTAAAATGAAGTATGCTTGAGTATT